TCAGAGTAGGAAAAATTCTCATGGAGAGACAAAATAATAGAAAGAGCTTTGACACTGGCAAGCAGTTATCTATGTAATTCATGTATTATGGCACAAAATCACTGCTGAGGATTCAGCTGGTGCTGGAACAGAGTCCAAAGACAGGAGTGCAAAACCCCATCGTTACAGAGGATAGGACTCCTCTCCCTGGAAAGGCTGGTGTGGCTGTTTTCAGGGAGAGCAGGGCTGTGTGCTGGGCTATGGGAAGCTGGAAATCTCCAGCAGCAGCATTTGTTTCCTTGAGGAACTCAGGGCTGAGCTGAACCAGGGCTCTGCGGGGCTGGCTCAGGGTTATCGGTGCTGCTCCTCGTGCCCCGTGCCCTGTGTGGGCACAGCCTGGCACAGGCTGCCTTCTCTGGGAACCACAAAGAAAAGAAACTCCTGCAAAACTCCCAGTGAGCAGCATTTGGAGTAATGCACGTTCTGGGGGAGACCTATACATTAAGTTTTAGCCTTGGGAAATGAGGCGGACATCCTGGCCGGGATTACAGCAGTCACAGGCACTTTTTCCAGCTTGCCTGGCCACTCAGGAATCCTTTGGGAAGGAAGCTGCTTGGTCTCATTTTGGATATCCTGTGAAACTGAACTAGCATGTTTGCCAGGAACAGGAAAAAGTTATTTCATTTTTAAAGAGCTGAAAACTACTGTATGTGCTTCTGAGTACTGTACGGGAAATTACTGTTTTGGTTTGTTTGTCTGGATTTCTGGTATTTCCAGTTTACTCAGGATAGCAGCCCTGTCTTGATCCTAATGCAGCAGTCTCTGCAAAGTGGAAATCTGGAGACAGATTCAGGTTTAAATATGACTTTCTGGCCCAGCCTTACTGTATTTGGAATGAAGTGGGAAATTTCTTTAGTTCAAATAGGAGAAAGCATGAGAAATATTCAGAGCACAATCCAACAATGCATTGAAAAAAACAACACTTTACTGTGATTTCCAAGCACTGTAGGGATGGGTCCCAGGAATGCTGAAGATATGAAGTGGATTGTGTCAGATTTTGTTCATTTTTTTTTTTTTTTTGGCATCTTTTAACGAAATTGGAATGTAAGTGGATGTCCATGGCCTGAAAATTAAGCCTTCCCTTCGCAGTCCTAAAACATTTTGCAGCAGCTGCACTAAGTTCTCCTGGTATCCTCCAAGGTGTGACCTGATAAAAGTATTCTCTGCTTTTCTGTGGCCATGAAATAGTACTCAAGGCACAGTGTTACTGCTACCAAGCTAGCACCCAGACATATCCAGCTGCCCACAAGCCTCTGAAGATTTTTAATGTGTAACCTTAGCCAGCCAAGGGTTGTCCTCTAAAGAAGCACTAAGGAGATGTCTAAAATCTCTAGTTCATATAAATTCCATGAAGTATTTTTATTCTGGAAGATAAGTGCTGATGTTGGAGCATCAGCATCAGTCTGATCAGGTGCCTCAGGCATGGGCATAATGCAGGTTCCTTACAGAAGGTAAGAAAACTTCCAACAAAAGAAATCTCTCAGGGAGTGTTCCAGTGCCAAGGAAAGCTGCTGTTCATGGAGCTCCTGTCTGACACTGGTGCAGGTGCTGGGGAGCTGCTGCACACAGGAGTCCTGGGGAGGGCTGGCACACTGGGACTGCTCTCCACCACAAAGCTGGGAGCAGGGGAACCCAGAAGCTTGAGGAGGGATTTGTCTCCTACCTCTATAATAGGGAGCCTAAATTGAGTTTGGGGTTTCTGATCTTCATGTTGGATTTGTATCCTGAAAATGCTGGGAAATATATGCAGAGGGTTGGCTCTGGGGTCACAGATGTGGCATGAGCTGCTGAGCCTGGCCGTTCCCACAGCAATGGGAGTGGCAGGGATGTCCATTCCCTCAGCACCATCTGGGTGATATTTCAATAAAATCTTCATGTGTGTTGAAGTTTTTCTGAATGATAATTTTCTGAATTTATAGTTCAGAGAACAGAGAAATTCTGAAAAGAGTCAGTTTGTCCTTTTCAGGTTAAGCCCACAGTTTAAGAAGCTGTTTATTTCCTGTAGACCAGAAATCTTGTTATCTTATGAATTATCTTGTTTATTTCTCTGCCAGCTTCACACCTGTAGCTAAGACCAATGTAAACAAGCTAGAGGAAACAAGCCAGCATGTCAATTTGAGCCTCAGCTTTAAACACTGTCTTCCTTTACTGACTGTCACATCTGGCAGGGGCAATTACTCTTGGTAGGATTATTATGGTCCCAAATCTGTGTTAGGATAATGACAGAAGAGCTCAGAATTAGCCCAGTACTTCTGGGGTACAATGGCATTTCCTTTGCTGAAACAAAGGAAGTTCTTTCCCCTTCATTCTTGCACTTCCCTTTTAATACAAAACATCCTTTGCATGCACATAGACATTTGAAAGGATTTTATGTTCAGGTCTGTGGTTGTCAAATTTGGCTTCAGGGTTTTGAACACGGATCTTGGAGAGGAAAGCTGTACAGAGCATTTAATTGTCTCTTGTGTTTGTTATGCTTTGGTTGTTTGATATTTTTAAAATTGAATTTATTATTAAGGGAACCTGTTCATTTTTTATTATTGCTAAGGTGAATGTGGGTTTATTAACAATTGCACTAGTGCATGGAATTTCTGATTCCTGGGAGTTACTCTGCCACACAGCCTCTTGCAGAAGAGCAAGGTGGGAGAGGCTGCTCACAGGTCAGCAGCAGCACAAGCAGCCTGTTTGCTCAGGGCTTTGGAAAGGATGTGCCAGGAGCAGGGCACGAGGCCGTGGGGGACACCTGGAGCACATTTCTGTGTCTGTAGAACCAGTCAGCAAGGTGGTGAAGAAATCAGGCCTTGTAAATCAGGTTCTACTGTAAAATACCCTTGTCCTGGTGGCATTTGTAGCCTCAACAGATCTGCTGTGAGCATCGGTGACAAAAGCAGCTGTGGCTTCTGTCAGACCTGCAAGACCTTGATGGGGAAATGATGCTCTGCCTTCCTCAGCAGCAAGGGAAGAACTGCTCAGAGCCCTGCCTGAACCCACAGAAACTCCCAGCAGGGTGCAGGGGGGAGGCAATGAAATGTGGTGGTGAAAGCACAAAGCAGGGATAGTGAGACCTGCCTGCAAAAATGCTACACCCCATGTGATACTTCTAAACACTTTAATACTTCTCAGTTTTGAGTAGAGCTTTCTGTCAAGTGGAAATTAATTCTCAAGTTGGAGAGCTGAGCAAGGCAGGCAGGTTTAATTTCAGCAAGAGATGGAGAGGGAGAAAGGGCGTTGGGTAGACAGCAGTCAGGAGTTTCACACCCGTTCTCACTGGGAGGCAGGAAGGAAGTGGAAAGTGGCAGGAGACAAAGGACAGCCTGAAGGTTAGAGAGAAGAGATAAATGGGGATTGTGAGAAATAACACAAGCAAAAAGGCTAATGATGTATTTATGTAAGGCAGGAAGGCTCAAATGGGGAGCAAAGCTCTGGCTTAGCTTTGACAAAGGTGACATGAGGGCCAGAATTTTCTAAATGCTGCCCAGGGGAGAGCAGGGGGCTGGGCTGTTACTGTGTGTGGATTTCTGCTGCATTGCGTGTTTAGTTCTTCAACAAATTTACACTTTAATGCAGTGATTGGCCCCAACTCTTTAGCAGTGCCTCCACATGCTGGCCCGAAGGCAGGCAGAGAGCACAAATTCAGGGTCACTTTAGCGATAATGTACCCAACGTGGGCTGTTGTACAAGAATACTTTGAAGCCGAGTGATACATCAGCACTTCTTTCAAGGAAATTGCCAAACGCCTTTATTACAACACTGCCCCTCGCTGCTGGCATTGCAGCCCTCCTGGTGTGCTAATAGGCACCAAAGACACTTCAACCACTTCGTCTTGATTTTATGTCTGCAACTGTGGAAGTTCTGATTGAGAATTTGGGCTCCTTTGCTTGCTCTCTGCGAGGGGACAGCGCCCTGAACATCCCTTGAGTCCTTGTTTAAGGACTTTGTCTCAGAAATGTGGCATTTCCACTGATATCTGCCTCCAAATACGAGGCCCAAGAATACCCACAAGTCCTTCCAGCCTGCCACACTACTTCGTGCTCCTCCTGCCGTCCCAATTACCGGGGAAAGGCGGCTCCGGGGGGCAGCGAGGCTGCGGAGCCGCCGTGGATGTGCCTGCGGGCCGGGCTGCCAGCTCCGCACGGCGGGCACGGCCCCGCTGGCGTGGGGCTGAGCCAGCCTGGGAGCATCCCTGGGAGCGTCCCTGGGAGAGTCCCTGGGAGCATCCCTGGGAGCATCCCTGGGAGCATCCCTGGGAGCATCCCTGAGAGCATCCCTGGGAGCATCCCTGGGAGCATCCCTGGGAGCATCCCTGGGAGCATCGCTGGGAGCATCCCTGGAGAGTCCCTGGGAGCATCCCTGGGAGCATCACTGGGAGCATCACTGGGAGCATCCCTGGGAGAGTCCCTGGGAGAGTCCCTGGGAGCGTCCCTGGGAGCATCACTGAGAGCATCCCTGGGAGCATCACTGGCAGCATCCCTGGGAGAGTCCCTGGGAGCATCCCTGGGAGCATCCCTGGGAGCATCGCTGCCGTCACCCCCCTGGGCTCGTGTTCGCCGAGGGGAAGGGGCTGGCAGTGTCTCAGCTGCGTGCGTGTATAAAATCCTCTTCTTTGCACGCTGTCACCGCAGTTTTGGGGGGTTTCAGGGCTCTGTTAGCGGCTGCCGCATCGCCCGGCGCGCCGTGGGGACCGCGGGGTCGCGGTGCCGGAGGGGTCCCCGCTGCCGGCCCGGCGTGGGGCGGTGCGTGCAGGGACGCTCCCGCACCCCACGCCGCAGAGCGATCCCCCATCCCCGCCCCACGGAGCGCGCGTGGGGGGCAGAGCGCGGCCGCCCCCGCCCCGCCGGCGGCAGGTGGCCCCGACCCCCGCCGCGCCGCACGTCACTTCCTCGCAAACTTTTCCCGAGCTGCTCCCTCCGCTAAAGTTGCCGGCGGCGGCCGGCCGGGCCGGGGAGGGCGGCGGGGCCGGCCGGGCATGCCCGGCTCGCTGCGGCCGCCGGGGCACGGCCGGGCCGGCTCCGTTAGCGCGGGCGGCAGCCATGGCCCGCAGCCTGGACGGCATCGACCTGGCGGCGCTGCGGGTAAGCACGGGGGGCTGCGCCGGGGACCGCCCGGCATCGGGGCTGCCGGCCCCGCTCGTCGCCCCCGCGGCGGGTGCGGGGCTTCACCCGGCGTGTGCGGGGCTTCACCCGCCTGTGCGGGGCTTCACCCGCCTGTGCGGGGCTTCACCCGCGTGTGCGGGGCTTCACCCGCCTGTGCGGGGCTTCACCCGCCTGTGCGAGGCTTCACCCGGCGTGTGCGGGGCTTCACCCGCCTGTGCGGGGCTTCATCCGCCTGTGCGAGGCTTCACCCGCCTGTGCGGGGCTTCACCCGCCTGTGCGGGGCTTCACCCGCCTGTGCGGGGCTTCACCCGCCTGTGCGAGGCTTCACCCGCGTGTGCGGGGCTTCACCCGCGTGTGCGGGGCTTCACCCGCCTGTGCGGGGCTTCATCCGCCTGTGCGAGGCTTCACCCGCGTGTGCGGGGCTTCACCCGCGTGTGCGGGGCTTCACCCGGCGTGTGCGAGGCTTCACCCCGCCTGTGCGGGGCTTCACCCGCGTTCTTACCGCTTGCCGGGCGGGCTCCGCGCCTGGCGGCGGCGCGGGGACCGCGGCACACCCGCGGAGCGGCGGGCTCGGCGCGGCGATGCTGCGGTGCCCGCACGGGCAGCGCGGATGCCCGAGGGGCTCGGGCTGCAGCCTCGGGGCTCTCCCGGTGCCCCGAGGTCGCTCCCGTGGCTGGAGCGGGGGGCCCGCGGAGCGCTGCGCTGCCCGGCTGCGAGCGCTGCGCCGCGGAGGCTCCGTCGCCTGCCAGGGTGATAAATAATTCCTACCGACATCCCTAAAGATGTTGTGAATGCTCTGAAGAGAAAACAAATGTGAGACTAGGATCTTCTGGAAGAATAGATACGCGTGGCGGTTTGCTATTTGTGGCCTTTTTGTTGTTATTGAAGTTTGGGATCTTTTATGCCCGTCTCCGTCCCCCAAGCTAAAAAAGTCAGCGTTTACCTAGTTTGCTGTGAGTTTTTATTATTCTCCTCTTATGTTTTTAATGTAAGCAAAACTTTGGCCGTATTAAGCGCTGTGCTGTCAGTGTTTCACATCCACAAAGCGGTGACAGGGCTGTGTGTGATGCCCCCGAGTTCCACTCGCCCTTTTCACATAGGAGCTGACCACTGAGCAGCCGTCCAACCCAGGCAGGTCTTTTGTGGAGCGCTCTCGACAGAAGAGGAGGGAAGAGTTCAATTGTGGCAAAAAGCAGTCTTCCCCAGACAGTGAAACCAAAGCAAGCCACTTTCTAAAAATATCAGAGAAAAAAGAAAGAGGGCTGGGAGAAGCCTTTGCGATATTCACATGGCGAGGAGGGCGTTCAGACTGGAGGCAGAAAGAGGAAAAGCAGCAGGGACAGTAAAGTTAGGAAGGATGGCAAAAGGCTTCTGGCTAAGCAAGCAGAAGTTTTATCTGTCTCTGCTATGAGGTGAGGCAAAATAATGGAAGTTCTTCTTTGGGGCTTTAGCAGATGAATCTCATCTCGTTAAATAAATAAGGAAATAGTGTGAATTTGAAAAGGAGTCATTCTGCAAAGCAGACAGCAGGCTTTGTGACAGAACCATCTGATTCACAGCCTGCAAAGGCTGAGAGCACTGTGAGTGAGTGTCAGCCTTGACAGGGAAAGGGATAAATGTCTCGTTTTGGGAGAAAACCCTTGGAGCAAGTCAGCAGCCTTAGTTTGGGGTTTGTGCTAGGTAGGAAATGGGAGGCAGGTGAGGCTGAGCTGTGAATTATTTAAAGACAAGTGTCTTGCCTTTGTTGTGTCTGAGGTGTTCCTGGGGCCAGTGGGCGCTGCCTGGTGCTGTGCTCCAGCCTCCCAAGGTTGTAAGCGGGGTCATTTTCAAACTGAGATTGCCCTGCTCCCCTCCAGATGGGTGTTCACTAGGGCTCTCCCCTTTCCCTGGAAAGAAAGAGGGCTGTGGCTTCCTAGCACTGCTGGGATCACCAGGGCAGTCAGAGGCCAAAAAGCCCCTGAAGTCTGTGGACCAGAGGCCCTTGTGCTTCAGACACCTGGATCTTCTTTAGCTGCAGGGTGTGAGAAGTGCATTTTGGTCCCGCTCTTGCTCGTGTGCAGCTTTTCATTCTGCCTTTTAGAGGAATGGATGTGGCCTGGGTGCCTTTACCAGCAGCCTTGCTCTTGCTTTCTGAGGGTGCTGCAGGTGACTGGAGGGAAATCAAGGTGGCCACCATATGGTACAGGGTATGATGGTAATTAGCCTTAGAGTGATGAATGTTCAGGCCAGGATTTTGGCATCTTTCACAGGGCATCTAGCAACTGGGCAGGTGCTGGCTGGTGAAGGGTTGGCTGGACCACGGGCTTAAGTGTTAGCTGGGGGGAAGCACTACCCCAGGGATGATGTGTGACTCCAGCACAGTGAGGAAGGTGGCCCACTGTGAGCAGTGCCAGCAAACAAGGCAGTGCTGATATCCAAGCAAACAAAGGCAATCCAAGGACCAGAGCCCAGCTTAATATCCTTTATGACTCTTAACAAGGCTTGGCTCACTGTGGTGTCCTGATTAAAAGAAGAGAGATGGCCAAGTATTTGGCTGCACTCAGGCCTGTGGAGGCTTGAAGTGCTAATGCTCAATTTGCTAGCAAGGGCAGGATAGGATTTGTACTGTATTAACTTTAAGGCTAGTGTTTATTCAGATAATTGTTAGGGTCTTTCCTGGAGTGTCAGAAGCCTTTAGAAGCAAACTATTGGGATGCTGAAACAGAATTAAATTTTTTATTGAAAAGGAAATAGAAGCTAATTTTGAGGCACTTAAATTACTATATTTGCATTAAATAAGCTTAGTGAAGACAGCATACATTCAAGTGAGAGAAGCAGTTGGAAAGTCCAAGTTGAAAATGCAGTTTAGGTTCCCCTGGGTTTCTGAACACTCTGGGCACTTTTTAATTCAGCAATGCTGCTTTCTGCAGGACAGGTGGTGACTTAGTGTGCTGCTCGTGCTCCCCATGGAGTGCAGTAGATATTATGCATGGAAGCCCTTTACTGGGAGAGTTCCTCAGAGAGCTGCTGTGAGTTTCCCTGCCTGGACCATGAGCTGCCCACAGTTCTGTGCAGAGGCTGCACGTGAAGCAGAGGTTCTGCACCACCCACCAGTTGCTTTAGCAGTAGCAATGGTTCATTTGCTGACTTTAGCCCCACTGAAATAAAGCATTTGTTTATATCCAGACTAGTCAAAACATAAAATGAGGAAATGAGAAGAAAGCAAAGAAAACTTTAGTGAGATCCAGTCTTGTAGGCATTCTTACTCCTGTGCTTAAATCCATATGTGAGTGTTCCCATTGATTTCCTTTTTAGTGAGGGCTTTTGGAATTGGGGTTTAAGTTTAAAAGGCTTGCTGACTTGTTTTAAAATAAGAGACAGAGGAAAGAATAACACAGACTGACCTGCATGGGTCAGAAGTAAGTAATCTGATTTACACATTGCTTTTTTTTTAAAAAAAAAAGAAAAAGTCTTGTCAGATTGACAGTCTAGGAAGTTTATGATTAAAACTTACTTAACTTAAAACCAAATGAACTCATTAGTACTTTCAGCTGTGGAATTCTGGGCTGTGTTGCTCTGAAAGCTCTTGGCATTTATCATGACTGTTGTGCCAATAAAGGTAGAATCTGCTCAGAAAAAAAGCCTGTGTGTTTCTGCTGGAATTTTGCCAAGGTAAACATTTCCATATCAGATATGAATAAAAAATTACTTATATTAAAAGACTAACATATAAGTGGAGTGGAGAGTAGCTTGATACCTCTAAAAAAAGATGTTTTGCAACCAGGGGCATAGAAATTGTACTTCTGAGATAATATTTTTCTGTATCACATCCCTCAGCAGTACCAATAGGCATTAACTGACATGATGGATTGCTGAAACAGATGTGGTAAAACTGACACATGGAGTTAATAATATTTTATATAAAATATATCACTCTCAGTGATACCATGGCAAGAAATCAGCTGAGTGATAAATGGCTTAGCCAGAAACCAAGAAACTGATCTCTTGAGCTCTGAATGGTTTTAAATAAATGGCTGAAGTGAGTTTTAACTGCAGCACCAGATTTTTTAATGCACTCAGTCGTTCAGGAGAGAGCATTGCCCATGCCTTGCAGCAAGGTGGGCTGCCTGTACCTGAGGGGCTGCAGCATGCTGCAGAAAAACCTTGTGCAGTGCTTGGTGTTAGAGCAACTGGTGCTGTAGCACAAGGTAGAAATTGGTTCATGTGGAATGGTAGACTGATCACCTGACTCATTAATCTCTTATGTAAATTAACAGCAATCTAGTTTGGGTTCAAAGCCAAGAGTTCAATACCACAGACAAATCCACTTCGTTATGTTTGCAGAGCAGGAGAGTTGAGTGTTCTCAGCCTGCCTGTAAGTTAAGCTTGCCTGGTTTGGTACATTTCCCTTCACTAAGGTAACTAGGCTCAGGTGCTTTATATTGTCATTTTTTCAATTCTGCTCTTCAGGTTTTTTCCTTTGTTGCATTGCTCATACCAAGTGTTTCACAGCAGAGGACAGCAGCTCAGCCTCAGGCTAGCTCAGTGTGGTAAGGCTTAGGAGCCTGGAGTTTTTCCTTATTCTACTGTAAGCTGAGGCTGCAGTTTAATTCTAGTATTTTTCACATGCTTTCATTTATTTATTGTATTTGCTGCAATACCATCCTGCCAATCTTCACCAAGTTTTGTTTAGTGTTTTGTGAAACTTGACTGAAAATTTAAATACTAATGCATTTCTTGCCCTGTGATTTGGCAATTTCCCTTTAGTGTGTAACACAGATCATTAGGAGATGTGCCTGGGATATTCCATTTTGATGGTGTACAATTACTTTCTGTTATGAAGTGGTTGCTCTAATCCAAATAACATTATTTCTTCTGCTTTTTGCAGGACCCTGCGGGAATATTTGAACTGGTGCAAGTTGTTGGAAATGGGACATATGGACAAGTCTACAAGGTTTGGGTCCCTCTTTAATTTAGGATGCTGTTCTTGATAAAGCTGTATTACCTAAAGCAGAAGTAAGCACCATTTAAGAAGGTGGACAATTGTTCCAGTAATAGCCTGGTTCTCCTTGCTCTCTTTTCTGCATAATACAAAATGTACTACCTGTGAAATTCCATGGCCCTTCCTTCGGTCCTGTTTTCATGTCCCTTTGCTGCCACAGGTCACATAAACAGCTTTTGTACTAACTTTCCTCTGCCCTGTTCTTATTTTCTCTTATTTAAAAGGTGTCTGGTCGAAATTTGCATCAGTTATGGCTAAATTTGGCCTGGATTGGGTGAAGTTCAAAACTCAGAGGTGTCAATTAGCCCTGCTCTGCAGGAGGCAATGAAGTCTTTGATTTCTGTCATTAGCTGTCACATTGCTGTGCCACTGTGGTATCAAAACAGAGCCACCAAACAAGAAAATGCAGCAATTAACATTGCCACAGCGCAGTGCTCTGTGCACCATGCACAGCCTACTTTAGTTATAACAACAAGCCTAGAAAAGTGTTCTTTCACTGTGAAGCCTTCCCTAAAAGTGATTTAAGAAGAGGAAATAGTTGTGATTAAATAGAGAACCAAGTTTCCATTTCAAGAACAAAGGCAGAGGAAGGACAAGGCCATGCTGCTGAACCCTTGGAGGTGCAGCAGAAGAGTAGTGGCACTGGAATAAATCTGTCTGGTGCTGCTTCTCCCCCAGGTCCCACTGCTGGCAAGGCCCTGCTTGGCAAGTCCTTGTGTGTGTGCAGGCTTTTGGTGTCCATCCTCTGGTGGCAGACCTGCTGTAATCACATTTTACTTCCCCTTTGAAGCTATAGGCTCTGGAAAAAGCTTTATAGGAGCAATTCTGGGAAGTCTCTCTTTTCCATGCTACCTTTTTTTTTGTTATTATTTTTATGTCAGAAGCAGGATTTTTCTCATGTAACTCTTTGTGGTGGTGAAATCTGTGTTGTTTCTGAGATTGTCATTCAGATACTGCTTTTAATACTACTGAATTAAAAATACATGCTCAGGGGTTCACATGGACAGATTAGAACCCAAGAGAGATTTAGAGGTGCTGTTGTTTTTTACCTGTAAAAAGATCCCAAACATCCTGAATGTTCTGTGAAATAGTTGACTTTTTGTGTGTGTGTGTGTGTGTGTCTGGATTAATTTTTATATTGGGAAAGAAAAATTTTAAATCTAGTCATCCTTTATGAATGTTGAGTATGAATCAGCTACTTAATCATGGAAGAAGCAGGAAGGAGCAACATAGTTTGCTTCTCTGCTGCAAAACAAAATGTTTTGAGCCATCATGTAGCTCATTAGAATGTTAGTTGCCAAAACGTGCAGGGAATATTGACAGTGACAATTTAAAATTGTCCCCAGAGGCTGCTCTCCACTGAGCATGTGAGAGAGCAGGGTCTGACAGCTCTGGGAATGGAGTGATGGTTTCAGTCCCCGCTCATTCTGCACCAGGACTGGCAGGGACACCTGAGGAAGGCACTGAGAGAAGGGGTCTCAGAGGGCTGGGGGCACTGAGGGGAGCTTTGTGCACATCCATCCTGCACTGGAGCAGTGAGGGGCTGTGTGACCCCAGCTCTGTGCAGGCCCACCCTAACTGAGGTGACACAAAAGGTTAAACTTTGGTCAGACAGGCACAGTGAGCAGTGGGAATTCTGCTGGGGCTGGAGCTGCTCTCAGAGCACGGAGGGGAAGCTGATGGTGCCAGCCAGGCTGGACAGATGCAAAATGCACATTCCACACTCAGCATCAGCAATTTTCACACAGCCCAAAGCCTCAGTGTGTTTGGAAATCCTCCTGCAGACGCTGAGCACCACCTGGAAGTTCTCAGGTGTTGTCTGGTGGTATCTCCCTGGTGCTGGCCTTGCACCCAGAGCAAATGTGTTTTCTCAGAAGGGCAGCTGCAATGGGACTGCTGCTGCTGCAGTGGCTGTGAGGGGTCAGGCTCATAGTCACTTTTCTTTTTAACTTCCGTGTACTATGTCCTGTAATCTATAAAATGCTAGAATTCATTAATTCACTGATAGAGTGAATGAATGGAATTCTGGAATAATTTTGCAGTTTGTCTGGTATAGGCTTGTGATTATAAATATTTAAGTTATAAAGTAGTCTCTCTTGTCCATATACTTTACTCATATCGTTACAGCACGTTTTTATTCTCCTGAGGTGTTAGATTCTTACATACATTCAGAAACTATGCATAGTAATTTGTACATCATCAAAGAGAAACTTATTTCAGGCTAAATAAATTATATATTCAGGATCACTAAGTTGCTTTGTTGGCTCTGAAGATGATTCATATTTTAATATATGTAACTCTATAAAAATGAAAATAAAATTTTGAGGATTCATCATTAGATTTAGAAAACCATGTTTAACAAATTTATTGAAGGAGAGCATTATTCATACTGAATTATTCCAGTTCCACTTCAGGGTCTTTTAAAATGAAATGGAAGAGGTATGAATTGTACACATAACAATGCTAGAGCTGAGTAGAAACGTTATAAAGATTTGTGTAGAATAGCTGACTAAAAGCCAGCAGATAGTTTTGACAACTTATAAAGTAGTAGGACATAAATATGCCAGTACTGGTAACTTCTACCTTGCAAAGTGTGAATTAGATGTGAAAAAAAAATGGCACCCAGAATTCATGAAACTTAGGCTTCATTACCTCCTGAAAATAAAGGTGAGCTTTTCAGTTAATTCCTGGTTTCCCTGTGCTGGAATCCAAAGAACAATCCTGTGTAAGAGGTGATTCAGAATAATGCCACGGGAGGTGGTAGCACAGGGTTCCCTGAGAGGGAAAACTGAAAGGAGTTGGAAATAGTGCAATTGCTGGTGGCTGGGGGGCACTGACTCAGTGTTGAGGAGCTGAAGGTCAGGTTGTGTCCAGTCTCTGCAGCACCTCCATGGAATGCATTTGGGAAAGATAAGTTTCTGAACATCCCATGCACTACTTCTGGCAAGATCTGTCATCCCCCTGCCTGCTCTCCAGGCCAGGGCTGAAAATGGCTGTTCAGGCATGAGCACTTGCTCTCCCAGGATGAGGGGCAGCATTTTTGAGTGTTTCTAGAGCTGCTGATGATTGAGGACCTTCAGCCAGCAGAGCAGTGTTTGGTGTCCTGTGCCTGCCAGTGTCACCTGGGAGGAAGCGAGACGGCTGAAGGTGGCACTGGGATGTCCCTGGGATCTCGGAGCCACGGCTCTGCTGTGAGTTCTTTGCCTGTTTCCATCTCCCTCGGGGCTGTGGGGTGGCCCTGGGGTGCTGGGCAGTGCTGCCCCATCACCCCTGTGCCCAGCAGGCGAGTGCTGCTTGGGCTCGGGTGTTCAGTAAGAACTAAACTCCAAGTTTGGGGAAAGTGAAATATTTTTTTCAAAGACTTCTGCTGTTAGTTTCATAATCTTTGATGAGAGGTGTTCCTTCCATAGCAGCCTGTTAATGCATTTTCTATGCTCCTATTTTTGATGCAGGGTCATTTTTCTGTTGAGGAAATGGGGAAAGGGCGGTATGGGGGCAGCTGAAGGGGTTGCCATTTTTGAAGTGTTCGGGTCACAGGATTCTTCCTGAGCTCTGAAAGAGGAAGACTCTGAGTTTATGGCTGCTCTGTTGTTTTGGTTGTCAAGATGAAGAGGAATTGTTCCTATCCTTCTCATTCAGCCATGCTCTGAGAGTCCCCATCCTTCTGAAGCTTTCATGGGCCAAGTGAGGTCAGCAGTGGTGTTTTCTGATGCCAAGAGGCACCTGACTGGGGCTTTTGTCTTCTTTATTTTTAGTGATCTGGATCAGCCTTCTCCTGGGCTTGCCAGTTTCCAGTGGCCTAGGGAAAGAGAGGCCAGTGTCTTTGGATAGTTCCAGGGGCTGATGTTTTTTGGCACATGATCTTGGAGGCTGTGATAAACCCTGACAGATTTGCAGCTACTGTGTGTGCAAAATGGTTTTATCTTTAATGGAGGCTGAGGGCACAGGGAACCTGAGAGAGGTGCTCTGGTTTGGAGCTATGGGAGTCAAGAGGGAAGATGAGGATTCCCAGTAATGCAGCTGATTCAGAGGCAGCAGTGCTGCTGCTGAGGCTTAGCAGGGCTGGAAGCAGCCCTGCCTTCCTGTAGTGACTCTGCAGAGATAATATTTTTATTTCTCTGCGGTCACGTAAGACTCAGGATACAAAAAGGAAGCAGGTCTAAGTAAGGAAGTGTATGGGGTTTTGGTTGTTTTTTTTGGGTTTTTTTTTAAACACAGTTGCTTCTTGGCATTGAATCGTGCTTCAATTGCTGACTTGAGTTATGAGTTACTTCGCTGCTGATGTAGAGTGGCAGGAGTGCAAAGCATAAATACAATTTTCAGTTTATCTTAATTTGAAAGTCTGTTAAGTTCTTTGTATTCCATTTCACTGAATAACTGGCTGATGTAATTGAGCTGGGAGTGGTGGAGGGAAGGAACATGGGGAGTTTTGAGACTGGGTAGTGTGTGGAAAGAATCACCTGACCATGCTAAGTTATAATCTGTGGACTCTACTGAAAACCTTAATTAATGGTAGCACCTGAAGGTTAAATATAAGAAACATTACAATTATTTTAAGTATAATCCAGATGGTAAATGTGTATAAACTGAAAACTTTAAAACCATCCCTTCTTGTGGGTGAGTCAGAAGTAGCCACTTTCCAAAGATTATGTCTTGGGGCTGAAATGCAATTTCAGAGTCTCCAAAGTACTGCAGAGATGTTAAAAAATGACACATGATCTCAGGTTGTTTTGTTGTTATTTGTGGTGAGTTACAGTTTTCAAGCTAATCTTAGTCTTCAAGGCACTGAGATTTTGATGAGTCAAGGAGGGAAATAAGTTGTAATCTATAGAAATGACAATGTGCTACCCTCTGTTTCGTTAGCAGTTGGTAAAAGTGCTTGTTAGTCTATTTGCTTTATTTTGGTTCTTGGTAGTGATGCCTTTTTCTTGCTCCTAAAATTAAGAGCCAGA